CCCCAAAACCCCAAAACCCCAAAACCCCAAAACCCCGGGATGTGGGTGTAGTGTTGAAGTTAATACCGGGTGGAATTTAAGCCGTGTTTGCTAGGTGCTTTGGGAATAGAAGGTGGGTTGAATAAGTCTAGAGTATTGCTCTTATGATAGTGTCTTTATTCTCTATTCTAATGGGTAAGTTACTATTTCTTTCTAGCTGCATCAGTTATATTTGGAAAGACTAGGTTATTGTAAGAACCAAATTTTGATAGGTATTATAACAATAATATGCTAATAATAAGCAAGCAATAAAACCCCGATGTCAATAAACCATGTTCTTCCATCCGGAGTATTGTTTATCCTTTCTCTTTTCATCTTGAATAAATTCTTGATGGAAAATAATGTTGACATTAATCAGGTAATACTAAATTTATGAATTTTAAGCCAAATCATTATGTCTTGGTGGTATTATAAACCCCAAGTCTATCAAAAACTGCAAGAATATTTCTCTCTTTTATTAACTCCTTATATGATAAAAGTTCGGTTTACTTATTTTTCTCCAAATTAGCCCATATATTCACCTATATTTTCTGTATTTTTAAGGTATTGTTACTAATTTTAAAATTCTAGTTTAACGAAGAGGTTCATCTATAAAATTTGTCAACATTAGCCCTTAGAAGAATTATTTGCAATTAGTTTAAATCTGAAGTCTTTTAGACTCAATCATAAGAGAAAACTCGTCATCTATTTATACAGATTGCCAAAATATCCAGAATTCAAAGTAGCTTCTATTAGGCAGATATTTCATAAATTCAATTAACAATTGTCTATTCAAAAGAAACAGTTCTCCAAATACTCCTTGAATTGATAATACTTTACAATAAATTGTACATAGTGAACTTGGAACCCAGATTCTTAATACTAATCCCTTTGATCAGATTCTAACTGAAATCAATAAAACTTTAGAAACATACCAAATAGAGGACGATATTTTTAGAAGGCCTTTAAACCTAGTTTTTATATTTTAGGTGAATACTCTGAAAGTATTGCTTTAGAGTCATTCTAATGAGTGCAACCATCTCGAAATATAGCAATAGCACCTTCATATTTTCTTATCTTGGCTAGTTTATTTCTGAAATTTCAAAAAAATTAATGATTTACTTTAAATTGGAGGTATCACTTTTCCGTAACTTTATGGAAACAAGTGAAGAAGTGATATAAATGAGGGAATTGTAGCAACGAGCATTTGCAATACTTTGAATTTGATAAAATATTTAGATAAAGAATTAGTTATAATAGTATTTGATCTCACATGGAGCAACGTCTCTCATAGTAATATTCTCTGAAGTACTTGGAACTTCTTTTAGTACGAATTTATCATTTGCTTTCTTTCCCTTCTGACTTCCAGTTCTCTTTCGAATCTTTCCTACAACTTTTAGAAGACTGCTGATTTCTGATTTTAAAGAAACTGTTGATTTATTGTCACCGTATGCAGTTCGAACTCTAGCTTTGTTGGAAGAGGAGGGCCTTATATTTCTCTCAGGAATATTAATTCCTTCATTCATCGATCTTGCAAGAGAAGCTCCACTATATCCCTCAACTTTTACGTTATCAAGAGGCTCAACTCAAATAGTGAAATTTAGTAACCCTCTCTTTTTATTGCTCAAGGATTTTCTGTCCATATTGGCCAAGATTTTGTCTGAGCCTCTAATTTTTAATGAAGAGACATCCTCACTGAGGAATTCATCAGAGAGGTTCTCATCTAGTTGAATTATACTTGGACTGTTCATTTTTAAATATATTTATCTAATAATTTTAATCTGCCTTTTCAAGAGTCTCTCGGACTCACGGGGTTTTGGGGTTTTGGGGTTTTGGGG